GAGCGAACGCCAAGCCATGGGTCCCTCCCACCTCTCCTAAATGTCTCTTGCTGGAAACCAGCCATCCCAGTCATCTGGAGCCACGCTGCTGACCCTAATGGCAGGAGGCTGGTGCTCCTTGGACTTGTGCTGGGGGGGGTGTGGGGTGCTAAAGGTGCTGTGTGAAATGGGGTCTTGGCTCTGTGGATGGGTGGGAGGGAGCCAGCACCTTCTTGTAGGCTGGCAGGGAGCTCCCACACTGCCTTGTGTTAGGCTCCTTGGCAGCATTCGGTGCATCGGGATGATCCTGGGGCATGGAGAAAGCGGGGTATACCCTGAGGGCAGAATGGAAGAAGAGGGAATCTGGAAACCTGCAGCAGGAAGAGCTCAGCCAGTTCCCTGGTGGAGTTTCCCTAGATGTGCCAGCGCTGGCAGAGCCTGATCCCCTTTGTCCCGCACCGCAGCCATCGAGGCGCTGAAGAAAGCCCACCGGGAGGAGATGAATAAGGAGCTGGGCAGGACACGAAGCTTCCAGCAGTGCGGTTCGGTCTCAGATGCTCTCCAGAAACAGCACCAGTAAGAAACCACCTATCATGCTCCCCTTGCCTGCTGCTGCCGCCCTATGCCAGCATCACCACACCCCATCTGTGCCTGCAGCGCTGAGCTGTCCCTCCGGCCACCTCCTCGGCTCCCTCCCTGGGGGCTGTGGGTGCCTAGTGGTGACTCCCAGGGCTGCTGGAGCTGCAGGGCAGGGAGGGTTATCCCCTGCTTGGCTGGCTTCCTACAGCACCTCTGTTTTCCCAGGTGTTTCTACAGCTTCTTCCCTCTGTTTTCCTCACATACAGCTGCTCCATTTCTCCTGTATGGCTTGAAGCTCCTCGAAGCACTACGCTTTTGTGCGGGAGGGTGGGAACCAAAGCCTTGGTCCGTGGGGAACCTTATTTTGTACCGGGTGTCTCTTTGGCAGGTTGGACGTGGATTCCCTGAAGCGAGAGCTGCAGGTGCTTTCTGAGCAGTACTCCCAAAAGTGCCTGGAAATTGGGGACCTCACCCAGAAGGCAGAGGAGCGGGAGCAGACACTGCTTCACTGTCAGCAGGAGGGGAAGGAGCTCCTCCGGAAAAACCAGGCAAGAGAAGGGCTTTCCTTGCCAGCAGACACCACGGAGCACGTTCCTCCCTGGCACAGCACAGAGCCTCTCTGTTAAAACTCCCCTATTTGCTCACAGTTCTTTCCTTCTGAGGTTTTTTTATCGTCAGAAAGGAATAGGAGTTAGAGGCTGTAGATGGGCTTGTCTGTGGCAAGAGTACTCTGTGGTTGTGGGTGCTGCCGTCGCCTCCAGGCAGGGGGTTACAAGGAGGTCTCGAGGCTGGAGTCGGGCTGGCATGAAGACGGAACAAAGAGGCCTCTGCCATGGCTACCCTGACGTCATTTGGTTTTGCCTGCAGGAGCTGCAGACCCGCCTCTCGGATGAGATCGGGAAGCTCCGAAGCTTTATTTCGTCACGGGTCTCCGGGGACCGCTCTCCGCACAACAACGAGCGGAGCTCCTGCGAGCTGGAGGTACGAGGGTCCCCCGGGCTGCCCCTGGGCTGCCCCACTGCCTCCATCCCTATCCCGTGCCGGGGGTGTCCTCCTCACAGCGGTTTTGGCTCGGAGCGGGTGGGAGGAGGTTGCTGGAGGGAGCCGTGGGGCCGGTTCCGGAAGGAGGTACGCAAGCTTCCCCTCGGTGCTCTCCCAGGGCGCTCGTGCCATTTCCTGACCCAGCCCTCCTGGCCCTTCCTTCCTTTTCACCGCGGCGCTTGCACCGGGGCCCGCCGGCCCTTCCGAGGCGGTGGCTCTTGAGTCACCACTGGTTCCTCTCCCCGTCCCAGGTGCTGCTGCGGGTGAAGGAGAACGAGCTCCAGTACCTAAAGAAAGAGGTGCAGTGCCTCCGGGAGGAGCTGCAGATGATGCAGAAGGTCGGTCGGTGTTTTCTGGGAGCCATTGGGAAAGCAGCAGGAGAGAGGGAGGAGAAGGAGGGTTCAGCTGGGCTTGACTGGATGCTCAGGCTAAACCCTCGTTGTCCCCGCTCGCTGCCGAGCGCGGAGCAGCTGCGTGCTCTGAGCAGCGCGAGCCAGCCTAGATTTACCTTGTACAAGGGAAACATCACGGTGCTTTGCTGCTGGTTTCCCCATAGTATGTGGGATAGATGAGAGGGGACAAGCCAGGAGCCCGTCTTTCCCAGGTGGGAAGCCTAGGTGAAGCCTGCCCAGGGCACCCCACTTCCCCAGCCACCTTCTCCATCCCCTGGCTGCACCCTTGCTGAGTAGATGTCTCTTTGGACAGTGTTGCTGGGTGTGCTGCTCCCTCCACTGGCAGCAGCTTCTTCAGAGCGATTTTCAAAGACCTCTGCCAAAGGGAAACCTGCAGGCAGCTTTGAGACTCGCTGATGCTCCAGGAGTTTATAACATTCTGTCTTAGGGTTTTTGCCATGTAAGTGGCCAGGATTGGCCACCTGCATCTCTGGTGGGGTTTATTTTTCCCATTCGGCTGGCCCAAACACACATGAGCCATGGTAAAGCCCGTATCACCTCAATTTGATGCTGCAAATCCCCGCTGCTGTGGGACCAGTGACCCTTCCTGCCCCAGGGTTTGGGAAGCACTACCTCCACCCTCTTCTGAATGGTTTCTGCATGTCGTGGATTGGGATGGGCTTCAAACCCCGGGTTGGCTTTCCCCTCCTCACCTGCTGGTCCTTCTCCTGCCGGGCTCTCCTTGCCACTCTCCTCTTAAATATCAGCTCTAAAACCTTCTGACCCCTCTCCCTCCCCTGGCAGGATAAGAGATTTGCCTCAGGGAAATACCAGGACGTCTACGCAGAGCTGAACCACATCAAGGTGCGCTCGGAGCGGGAGATTGAGCAGCTGAAGGAGCACCTGCGCCTGGCCATGGCGGCTCTGCAGGAGAAGGAGTTGCTGTGCAACAGCATCGGCGAGTAACGGTGAGTGCCAGGGGGGACCGTGACGTCCCCTTGGGTTGCTGAGACCGGAGCCAGGCTGGAGGTGAGAGCTGGCTGCATGCTGGCCTTCACCCTGTGGGTTGGGTGACGGCATGGGGGCAGTTACCCACTGTCCACGTACGCGGTGCTTCTTTTGAGGCGGTTTCCCTATCACCGCAAGGAAATTTTAGGTCTGCAGCCAAGCAGCCTGACTCGACCCAGCCCTCCTGCAGGCATCCCTGCCGTGGCTGGGGAGGGAAGCAGAGTGGCAGGAACGAGGGTGTCCTGTTGTCTGAAGCGCTTCTGCTTCTTGTTTGGGTGCTGTGGCCGTCGGGTTGGGGTCACCCTGCCCCACCAGTGCTTGCCGGTGGGCACCAAGAGAAGGGGAGAGCCTGTAGCAGGGCAACAGACGGCTGTCCCCACTGGGGAGCAGATGGGGCGGCATTTCCGCGCTCAGTGGAGTCTTCCTAAACCATTCCTCGTTTCGTCTCTCTCCAGGTCTGCTCTTCGTTTGTTTATCTGTTCTTGTTTTGTATTTGCTCCATTCCTCACTTGCAGGGAGGGGGAGGTTGAATCCCATCCGTTATTACCTTGGTAAGGATTCCTCTCCCCAGGCTCCTCACTCCCATCCCAAAGCTTTTCTGATGAACCCCTTTTGCCTGTGTACCTGAGCACGTTGTTTGGACTGGCTCCTTACATGCACCTTCTTCAGGATTTTATATGTGAAAATTATATTTTATAGAGGAATTTTTTTCCCCCCTGTGAAGAAGGGGAAGAGGAGGGGGAAAACTTTTACTACATCACCAGCATTTTCTAACCTGAAAAAGAGAATCTGGTTTCCCCCCCTCCCCAGCCCCGTTGCTTCCGGCCACACAGCCACCTTCGGCACATATTCCCTCTCTTCCAAACGTCTCTTGCGGCCCCTGGGATGTACGGCGAGGCCCACGCTCCCCACACCCCATGCCACCCCCAGGGACCTGCAGAGAAGCCATGCAAGCCATAGGAGGGAGTCACTGGTGCAGTCTGCCATGGACGTGCTTGCCTGGACTTCTGAAAGAGGGGATCTTGGCAAGAGTCCGCATGATCGAGCTCTCTCCCTGACTGTCCTTCAGCTCCTTCAAGAACCTGAATTAGCAGGAGCCCAGAGCTACTGAGTCTCTCTTTTCCGGGGAAGAGGAGCTGTGAGGCTGCCACTGCACCCTCTGGAGATGACCCCCACCCAAGGTGGCAGCTGCTGCTGCTGCTTTGCTGCACCATTCAACTTTTAACTTAATAAAATCTTCCCCTGTCGCTGAGAAAAACGTGTTCCTCGAGGGGAGGGCTTGTCACGTGGCCCTGACCCAGCGTGGGGTACGGCGGGGGGTCATTTTTCCAGGTTTCTATGTGATTTTGGGGCATCCTGACCGGTAGCTTCACTCCCTCTGGATTTGGGAAGGGAAAGCAGCTGGAGTACTCCCCAGCCCCTGGCAAGAGGGTGAGAGGAGCCCTGCGGTGCCTTTATCCAGCTGTCTGCTCCACCTTTGGGTTGGGAGAGGGAAGTAATTGCTTCACCACACCGCTCCGAAAGTTCCACGTGGACCCTCATCCCCACAGAGGAAGAACTGAGCCTGGGCTGCGTTGGTAAATCCAGTTTTGGGGTGGGGGGGCGGATGGCACTGCAAATTACTGGCAGGGTAAACAGTGTATATAGAGATCCTGGGGAAGATCAGAGGGATCTCGCGTTCCTCCTCTGGGTTTTGGGTGAAGCACGTTGCTTTTTTTGGCAGGATGGAGGACCCGGGGGTGACTGCTGCTCGCTCAGCCCTATCCCGGTGTAAATGTGAAGTGTCGCTTTGCGGAGAGGCTGCTGGCAGTTACGGAAGAGCCCTAATCGCGAGGGCTGGAGGCACCCTCTGAAGAGGGGGAGATGAAGGGGTCAAGGAGAGGAGCTTTGGATGGAAGCGATGGATGTGTGGGCTGGGGGAGGCGGGATCGC